TCACCCACCCTGGTGTACATAAATAAGACCCATTGGCTTCTATCACTTACCCACTTAATCTACTGTAACAGCAGCATCCCTACCTTCTGTATGTCATCCTGTCATATCAGTTAGACTATCATCCACCCTGGTGTACATAAATAAGACACATTGGCTTCTATCACTTACCCACTTAATCTACTGTAACAGCAGCATCCCTACCTTCTGTATGTCATCCTGTCATATCAGTTAGACTATCATCCACCCTGGTGTACATAAATAAGACACATTGGCTTCTATCACTTACCCACTTAATCTACTGTAACAGCAGCATCCCTACCTTCTGTATGTCATCCTGTCATATCAGTTAGACTATCATCCACCCTGGTGTACATAAATAAGACCCATTGGCTTCTATCACTTACCCACTTAATCTACTGTAACAGCAGCATCCCTACCTTCTGTATGTCATCCTGTCATATCAGTTAGACTATCATCCACCCTGGTGTACATAAATAAGACACATTGGCTTTCTATCACTTACCCACTTAATCTACTGTAACAGCAGCATCCCTACCTTCTGTATGTCATCCTGTCATATCAGTTAGACTATCATCCACCCTGGTGTACATAAATAAGACACATTGGCTTCTATCACTTACCCACTTAATCTACTGTAACAGCAGCATCCCTACCTTCTGTATGTCATCCTGTCATATCAGTTAGACTATCATCCACCCTGGTGTACATAAATAAGACCCATTGGCTTCTATCACTCTTCACCCACTTAATCTACTGTAACAGCAGCATCCCTACCTTCTGTATGTCATCCTGTCATATCAGTTAGACTATCATCCACCCTGGTGTACATAAATAAGACCCATTGGCTTCTATCACTTACCCACTTAATCTACTGTAACAGCAGCATCCCTACCTTCTGTATGTCATCCTGTCATATCAGTTAGACTATCATCCACCCTGGTGTACATAAATAAGACCCATTGGCTTCTATCACTTACCCACTTAATCTACTGTAACAGCAGCATCCCTACCTTCTGTATGTCATCCTGTCATATCAGTTAGACTATCATCCACCCTGGTGTACATAAATAAGACCCATTGGCTTCTATCACTTACCCACTTAATCTACTGTAACAGCAGCATCCCTACCTTCTGTATGTCATCCTGTCATATCAGTTAGACTATCATCCACCCTGGTGTACATAAATAAGACCCATTGGCTTCTATCACTTACCCACCTAATCTACTGTAACAGCAGCATCCCTACCTTCTGTATGTCATCCTGTCATATCAGTTAGACTATCATCCACCCTGGTGTACATAAATAAGACCCATTGGCTTCTATCACTTACCCACTTAATCTACTGTAACAGCAGCATCCCTACCTTCTGTATGTCATCCTGTCATATCAGTTAGACTATCACCCACCCTGTTGTACATAAATAAGACCCATTGGCTTCTATCACTTACCCACTTAATCTACTGTAACAGCAGCATCCCTACCTTCTGTATGTCATCCTGTCATATCAGTTAGACTATCATCCACCCTGGTGTACATAAATAAGACACATTGGCTTCTATCACTTACCCACTTAATCTACTGTAACAGCAGCATCCCTACCTTCTGTATGTCATCCTGTCATATCAGTTAGACTATCATCCACCCTGGTGTACATAAATAAGACCCATTGGCTTCTATCACTTACCCACTTAATCTACTGTAACAGCAGCATCCCTACCTTCTGTATGTCATCCTGTCATATCAGTTAGACTATCATCCACCCTGGTGTACATAAATAAGACCCATTGGCTTCTATCACTTACCCACTTAATCTACTGTAACAGCAGCATCCCTACCTTCTGTATGTCATCCTGTCATATCAGTTAGACTATCATCCACCCTGGTGTACATAAATAAGACACATTGGCTTCTATCACTTACCCACTTAATCTACTGTAACAGCAGCATCCCTACCTTCTGTATGTCATCCTGTCATATCAGTTAGACTATCATCCACCCTGGTGTACATAAATAAGACACATTGGCTTCTATCACTTACCCACCTAATCTACTGTAACAGCAGCATCCCTACCTTCTGTATGTCATCCTGTCATATCAGTTAGACTATCACCCACCCTGTTGTACATAAATAAGACCCATTGGCTTCTATCACTTACCCACTTAATCTACTGTAACAACACCATATCTGCGTCTGTATATCTATTCTCTTTTGTCTCATGATCCCCTGTTTATTGCATATGTACATGCTCAAATTCACTCTGGCGTCAAGTACATTACTATATATATATATATATCCTGTATATCTGTTAGTTAGCATTCACCTGACGAAGGGTCAAGGAAAGGCCCAGAAACGTTGTGTACACAATAAGAAGTTGTCATCCATTATATTTATTCTTATACTTGAATACCTATCAAGATACCTATCAAGAACCTGTAAAAGAATTGTTTAGTTGGGTTGTTTTTTTTAAAAACACACGTAAAAAACAGTAATATGGCAAGCGATTATAATTTTTGGCCTACACTGTAATGATTACTCAAAAAGCCTAAGGTTAACGTCTCTAGATGACTGTCATCAAACCGACACACCTGTCCACGTGAACATACATGGTGGCCACATGGAGCAAACACTGAAACAATAACGCCGTGTAATAGTGGTCCAAACTCCCTTCTAGCAGGGATCGCCGCTACTTGCCTGACAACGACATTAGAATTAATTCGACACGTCGCCTATACAGAATAAAGACGTTGTATATCCATAAACACTGTCATTCTTCATCTCAACTTGTAGAATGCCAATCAAAGAAATCTCCACTACATGTAGAACAAGACCATGTAGAACATTCCTGATTGTGGTGTCAGAACACGGAGCCCTTAACAAGACACATTGCAGCGTGCGTGCGCGCGTCAGCCGAGGTCCTCCCCACCACACACACACACCTCAGGGGGTGGACAGGCTCGCTGGGGGTGTGGCCAGGGCTAAGTGACAGATGATTGTAGGACGCTTCACTCAGATGTAAGTGACTCATGTGAACACACTGATGAGAACTGGTAACTGTATTTTCTTTTGTGTAATATTTCTGGACTTTCATCAGAAGTAGAGGATACGGACTTTAACACATTCGATTTAGTTGGTCTAACTGAGACATGGAGCAATGTCTCTAACCTAGGATTAGAAGACATATTCAGATTATGTGTCTCTCTGTAAAGATGCAGACAGAATATCTATATGTGGTAGACACTCATGTGGGTAGTGGTTATGGTTAGAAAACATATATTTCAATACATAAAATGGTCAAGAGTTATAGAATATACTATCTTCATTGTTTATTATAAGTCCCTTTTTGGACTTGATTCAGACATACTTTCTGCTTGTGTCTATATACACCCCCAGGGTTCCACATGGTATGAACAACTTAGCCCACAGTGGACAATGGAATCATGTTATTGTGGCCTTTTCAGTATGGAATAAAGATTGACTTGACTTGACTAGGACTGCCATCAAACCGTTACACCTGTCCATGTGAACATACAGGGTAGCCACATGGAGCAACCGCTGAAACAATAACGTGGCGTAATAGTGGTCCAAACACCCTTCTGGCAGGGATCTCCACTACATGTACACCAAGACCATGTAGAACATTCCAGATTGTGGTGCCAGAACATGGTACCCTTAACAAGCCAGATTGCAGTGCTGGGTGTGTCTTTCCAGGAAACAGATTTGACAAAGAGACCCATAAACAAATAATTTCATATCAGGAGATTAAATATTTTATTTTTGTATATTCTGACAATGGAATACCTTTGTAAATAATTTCATATCGATGTATTTTGATAATTAATACCTCAAACAAACATTAAAACGATTCAGTCATCCACACCATGAACATGTAGAGTATGATGTTACAGCATGGAAGCCACACCACCATGAACATGTAGAGTATGATGTTACAGCATGGAAGCCACACCACCATGAACATGTAGAGTATGATGTTACAGCATGGAAGCCACACCACCATGAACATGTAGAGTATGATGTTACAGCATGGAAGCCACACCACCATGAACATGTAGAGTATGATGTTACAGCATGGAAGCCACACCACCATGAACATGTAGAGTATGATGTTACAGCATGGAAGCCACACCACCATGAACATGTAGAGTATGATGTTACAGCATGGAAGCCACACCACCATGAACCAGCCACACCACCATGAACATGTAGAGTATGATGTTACAGCATGGAAGCCACACCACCATGAACATGTAGAGTATGATGTTACAGCATGGAAGCCACACCACCATGAACATGTAGAGTATGATGTTACAGCATGGAAGCCACACCACCATGAACATGTAGAGTATGATGTTACAGCATGGAAGCCACACCACCATGAACATGTAGAGTATGATGTTACAGCATGGAAGCCACACCACCATGAACATGTAGAGTATGATGTTACAGCATGGAAGCCACGCGGCCAGGCACCAGGTCCACAACAAACACAAGACCAGGTACACATTAATGCTTTTATCAGACTGTGTAATAAGAATGTTTATTGCTTGTATCTCCCTGACACTCGGCAATGTTGAAATATATGTTACAGTCACTGATATAACAATTACTGCATGTTGGAGTGAGTGAGTTTAGTTTAGTATTCTAATCCGGACCTTCACGGGTAACTGCATGTTGGTGTGGGTGAGTTTAGTTCAGTATTCTAATCCGGACCTTCACGGGTAACTGCATGTTGGAGTGGGTGAGTTTAGTTCAGTATTCTAATCCGGACCTTCACGGGTAACTGCATGTTGGAGTGGGTGAGTTTAGTTTAGTATTCTAATCCGGACCTTCACGGGTAACTGCATGTTGGAGTGGGTGAGTTTAGTTCAGTATTCTAATCCGGACCTTCACGGGTAACTGCATGTTGGAGTGGGTGAGTTTAGTTCAGTATTCTAATCCGGACCTTCACGGGTAACTGCATGTTGGAGTGGGTGAGTTTTAGTTAGTATTCTATCCGGACATTCACGGGTAACTGCATGTTGGAGTGGGTGAGTTTAGTTCAGTATTCTAATCCGGACCTTCACGGGTGAGTTTAGTTCAGTATTCTAAACTGACCTTCACGGGTAACTGCTGTTGGAGTGGGTGAGTTTAGTTCAGTATTCTAATCCGGACCTTCACGGGTAACTGCATGTTGGAGTGGGTGAGTTTAGTTTAGTATTCTAATCCGGACCTTCACGGGTAACTGCGTGTTGGAGTGGGTGAGTTTAGTTCAGTATTCTAATCCGGACCTTCACGGTAACTGCATGTTGGAGTGAATGGGGTAACTTGGAGTTTGGTTAGCATTCTAATCCGACCTTCACGGGTAACTGCATGTTGGGGGGTGAGTTTAGTTCAGTATTCTAATCGGACCTTCACGGGTAACTGCATGTTGGAGTGGGTGAGTTTAGTTTAGTATTCTAATCCGGACCTTCACGGGTAACTGCATGTTGGAGTGGGTGAGTTTAGTTCAGTATTCTAATCCGGACCTTCACGGGTAACTGCATGTTGGAGTGGGTGAGTTTAGTTCAGTATTCTAATCCGGACCTTCACGGGTAACTGCATGTTGGAGTGGGTGAGTTTAGTTCAGTATTCTAATCCGGACCTTCACGGGTAACTGCATGTTGGAGTGAATGAGTTTAGTTTAGTATTCTAATCCGGACCCGGACCTTGGAGTGGGTGAGGTAACTGCATGTTGGAGTGGGTGAGTTTAGTTCAGTATTCTAATCCGGACCTTCACGGGTAACTGCATGTTGGAGTGGGTGAGTTTAGTTCAGTATTCTAATCCGGACCTTCACGGGTAACTGCATGTTGGAGTGGGTGAGTTTAGTTTAGTATTCTAATCCGGACCTTCACGGGTAACTGCATGTTGGAGTGGGTGAGTTTAGTTCAGTATTCTGACCTTCCCGGGTAGCTGCATACTGGAACACAATCTAAATAATGTCAATAATTACATAACATTTTTAGCCATGGATCGTCCTGTTGTTTATTGAGCAGCAGACAAATTATTTATACCTTCAAAACATTTCCTGAAAAGTCTTTAAAAATTATGAGCAGTCACCATGGTAACAACAACACCCCGATTCACCAAAGGAATGACAATGAGCAGGGCATTCCTGATATACTTTGTTCATAACATCATCCAACGCAGATACATCACCTGGGTACCAGGGTACATTCATCCAACACACATACATCACCTGGGTACCAAGGTACATTCATCCAACACACATATATCACCTGGGTACCAGGGTACATTCATCCAACACACATATATCACGTGGGTACCAGGGTACATTCATCCAACACACATATATCACGTGGGTACCAGGGTACATTCATCCAACACACATATATCACGTGGGTACCAGGGTACATTCATCCAACACACATATATCACCTGGGTACCAAGGTACATTCATCCAACACACATATATCATAATGGGTACACATTTATAATGTACATTCATGCTCAAAACACAGATAAGATGGGTGAAGTTATGAAGTACTGAGAAAAGGTACATTCATCCAACACACATATATCAAAACCTGTCAGAGTCTTTGATGTCATCCAACACACATAGATCACCGGTGCTGTGTAGGAGAACATGCGGTGTCCAACACATTTCAGTTTGTAGTTTGTATATCACCTGGGTACCAAGGTACATTCATCAAACACACATATATCACCTGGGTACCAAGGTACATTCATCCAACACACATATATCACGTGGGTACCAGGGTACATTCATCCAACACACATATATCACGTGGGTACCAGGGTACATTCATCCAACACACATATATCACCTGGGTACCAGGGTACATTCATCCAACACACATATATCACCTGGGTACCAGGGTACTCATACATCACAGTGACATAAAACAGCTATATACATTATACTGAGAACACCACAACCAAAACCTACAGCCGTCCCTCCACCGCTAGGGTTTAACCAACCTGCTTTGTATAGTGTGATGTCTGGTGTGTGGAGCGTGATGTCTGGTGTGTGGAGCGTGATGTCTGGTGTGTGGAGCGTGATGTCTGGTGTGTGTGTGGAGCGTGAAGCGTGATGTCTGGTGTGTGGAGTGTGATGTTGTGTGTGTGGCCGCGATGATGTCTGGTGTGTGGAGTGTGATGTCTGTGTGTGGAGCGTGATGTCTGGTGTGTGTGGAGTGATGTCTGGTGTGTCTGATGTCTGGTGTGTGGAGAGCGTGATGTCTGGTGTGTGGAGCGTGATGTCTGGTGTGTGGAGCGTGATGTCTGGTGTGTGGAGCGTGATGTCTGGTGTGTGGAGCGTGATGTCTGGTGTGTGTGTGGAGCGTGATGTCTGGGTGTGGAGAGTGATGTCTGGTGTGTGGAGTGTGATGTCTGGTGTGTGGAGCGTGATGTCTGGTGTGTGGAGCGTGATGTCTGGTGTGTGGAGCACTGTGATGTCTGGTGTGTGGAGCGTGATGTCTGGTGTGTGGAGTGTGATGTCTGGTGTGTGGATGAGCGTGATGTCTGGTGTGTGGAGTGTGATGTCTGGTGTGTGGAGTGTGATGTCTGGTGTGTGGAGCGTGATGCCTGGTGTGTGGAGCGTGATGTCTGGTGTGTGGAGCAAAGCGTGATGTCTGGTGTGTGGAATGTGATGTCTGGTGTGTGGAGCCTGATGTCTGGTGTGTGGAGCGTGATGTCTGGTGTGTGTCGGTTGATTTTCAGCACTTCCATAGTATGACATGTTGTGAAGCACTTATCTGAGGCTTTACACCTGCTGATGCTGTAGACTTCATTCCCACTCTCAACACCTGGTGTCGGGGTATGATACCATCTACATACATGATATGTTCAAGCACACTGATTAAAGTATCAGGTATTAAAGACAAAGTCATTCATCACATTACTGTAGAACAGATACACAATGACACCATCCTGATGGAACATAGAAGTCATTCAAACAGTGTTGCCTGTAACTTCCACCATGAGGAATATTTGGCTCCATTGAATAGTGTTCCACATGACACCGACTAAGGAGAATTTTTGGCTCCATTGAATAGTGTTCCACATGACATCGACCAAGAAGAACATTTGGCTCCATTTAAGAGTGTTCCACGTGATAACCACCAAGAGGAATATTTGGCTCCATTTAACAGTGTTCCATGTGATATCCACCAAGAGGAATATTTGGCTCCATTTTAGAGTGTTCCACGTGATATCCACCAAGAGGAATATTTGGCTCCATTTAAGAGTGTTCCACGTGATATCCACCGAGAGGAATATTTGGCTCCATTTAAGAGTGTTCCACGTGATATCCACCAAGAGGAATATTTGGTTTCATTTAAGAGTGTTCCACGTGATATCCACCGAGAGGAATATGTGGCTCCATTTAACAGTGTTCCACGTGATATCCACCGAGAGGAATATTTGGCTCCTTTTAACAGTGTTCCACCTGATATCCACCGAGAGGAATATGTGGCTCACATTCATGATATAATCCATATTATGAAACTGTTATTGTCATGATTTGTTTCTCAAATTATTTACATGATAAATACTTATGTATACATATGTACATAATCTGATGGTTTCAAGATTTAGCTAACTTTCCATCAAGGATTAGTTGAAATAGCAGAATTTAATAATTATTATGTTCGGAATAAATTGTTTGGGTAATTCCGTTTTAAGTGGAAAAAATTCTCACTTTGCAAATATCAATTGTTTTCTGTTGCGGTCAGAAAAGTAAGAATATGTGTTACTTTATGTTATTTCCACGATCGGTCAGTCAAATCTGTAAACCAACAAAGAAGAATACACACACATGCACTCACACAAGAACTGTTCACAGTCTGTATGTACACACACGCACACAAGCACTGTCACTCACACACACACACACCAGTCACTAGCCGGGGCTATCTGTCCCGCTTCAGGTTAAACACATCCACCTCATCAGGCTCTTCATCTTCTTCGTAGCCCTGGTTGGCCTGGCCATCTCTGGTCAGCATCTCCAGTGACTCCGGCGTCCGCTCAAACACTCGCTTCTTGCTCTCTGGATTATCTGACAGGACAGGACACTGATTACTGTATAACACTGCAGCTGTTTGTACAGACACTGATTACTGTGTAACACTGCAGCTCTTTCTACAGACACTGATTACTGTCTAACACTGCAGCTGTTTGTACAGACACTGATTACTGTATAACACTGCAGCTGTTTGTACAGACACTGATTACTGTATAACAATGCAGCTGTTTGTACAGGACACTGATTACTGTATAACACTGCAGCTGTTTGTACAGACACTGATTACTGTATAACACTGCAGCTGTTTGTACAGGACACTGATTACTGTATAACACTGCAGCTGTTTGTACAGACACTGATTACGGTATAACACTGCAGCTGTTTGTACAGGACACTGATTACTGTATTACACTGCAGCTGTTTGTACAGACACTGATTACTGTATAACACTGCAGCTGTTTTGTACAGACACTGATTACTGTATAACACTGCAGCTGTTTGTACAGACACTGATTACTGTGTAACACAGCAGCTGTTTGTACAGACACTGATTACTGTATAACACTGCAGCTGTTTGTACAGACACTGATTACTGTATAACACTGCAGGTGTTTGTACAGACACTGATTACTGTATAACACTGCAGCTGTTTGTACTGACACTGATTACTGTCTAACACTGCAGGTGTTTGTACAGGACAATGATTACTGTATAACACTGCATGCCAGGCCATGTTGGAATACCTGCTGACAAGTACCTTGTACTAGATGTGCCTAATGAGACTAGCATCAGATGCTTGTTACGCATTACGCACCTCCTACAAGATATACCCCTGCGAGACATGCATTTGGTACCTCTTACTAGATATATGCCTGAGAGACATGCATTTGGTACCTCTTACTAGATATATACCTAAGAGACAAGCATTAGGTACCTCTTACTAGATATACCCCTGAGAGACAAGCATTAGGTACCTCTTACTAGATATACCCCTGAGAGACAAGCATTAGGTACCTGTTACTAGATATAACCCTGAGAGACAAGCATTAGGTACCTGTTACTAGATATAACCCTGAGAGACAAGCATTAGGTACCTGTTACTAGATATAACCCTGAGAGACAAGCATTAGGTACCTCTTACTAGACATACCCCTAAGAGACAAGCATTAGGTACCTCTTACTAGACATACCCCTGAGAGACAAGCATTAGGTACCTCTTACTAGATATATATATGCCTGAGTGACAAGCATTAGGTAAGTTTTACAAGATATACCTCACAGGCAGAAAGAGACAAGCAAGAGGTCACCTGGATATATATATACAAACACATGCAAGCGACCATCTGGGCTGTCCATAGAGACAGGGGACTGAAATATCCAGATAAGGAACTGAAATACTTACTGAACACAGCCTTGAGCACCACGCGTAAAGTGATCCCACACAAGCACACAAAGAGGCCAATGATGTTTACGGAGTTCATCTGGTCTCCATTTATTGCAGCAGCCAGTCCCAGTGTACAGACCTCCTGCAGAGAGACAGGTTACATACAGATCTCCTCCAGAGAGACAGGTTACATACAGATCTCCTGCAGGAGACAGGTTACATACAGATCTCCTGCAGAGAGACAGGTTACATACAGATCTCCTGCAGGGAGACAGGTTACATACAGATCTCCTGCAGGAGACAGGTTACATACAGATCTCCTGCAGGGAGACAGGTTACATACAGATATCCTGCAGAGGGACAGGTTACATACAGATATCCTGCAGAGACAGGTTACATACAGATCTCTTGCAAAGAGACAGGTTACATACAGATGTCTTCCAGAGAGACAGGGTACATACAGACCTGCATAGAAAGAGGTTACATGAAGACCTCCTGCAGAGAGAGGTTACATACAGATCTCTTGGAGAGAAGCAGGTTACATACAGACCTCCAGCAGAGAGACAGGTTACTTACAGATCTCCTGCAGAGAGACAGGTTACATACAGATCTCCTGCAGAGAGACAGGTTACATACAGATGTCTTGTAGAGAGACGGGGTACATACAGATGTCTTGTAGAGAGACAGGGTACATACAGACCTCCTGCATAGAGACAGGTTACATAAAGACCTCCTACACAGAGAGAGGTTACATACAGATCTCTTGCAGAGAGACAGGTAACATACAGAACTCCTGCAGAGACAAATTACACAAAGACCTCCTGCAGAGAGACAGGGTACCTACAGACCTCCTGCTTAGACAGGTTAGATACAGACCTCCTGCAGAGACAAATTACACAAAGACCTCCTGCAGAGAGACAGGGTACCTACAGACCTCCTGCTTAGACAGGTTAGATACAGACCTCCTGCAGAGAGACAGGTTACATACAGATGTCTTGTAGAGAGACAGGGTACATACAGACCTCCTGCATAGAGAGAGGTTACATAAAGACCTCCTACACAGAGAGAGGTTACATACAGAACTCTTGCAGAGAGACAGGTAACATACAGAACTCCTGCAGAGACAGATTACACAAAGACCTCCTGCAGAGAGACAGGGTACATACAGACCTCCTGCAGAGACAGGTTAGACACAGACCTGTAAAGAGACAGGTTACATACAGATCTCCTGCAGAGAGAAATATTACATACAGACTTCCTGCAGAGAGACAGGTTACATACAGATCTCCTGCAGGGAGACAGGTAACATACAGATCTCCTGCAGGGAGACAGGTTACATACAGATATCCTGCAGAAAGACAGGGTACATAAAGACCTCCTGCAGAGAGAGGTTACATAAAGATCTGTTGCAGAGAGACAGGTTACATACAGATGTCCTGCAGAGAGACAGATTACATACAGATCTCCTGCAGAGAGACAGGTTACATTCAGACCTCCTGCATAGAGAGAAGTTCCATAAAGACCTCCTGCAGAGAGACAGGTTACATACAGATGTCTTGCAGAGAGACAGGGTACATACAGACCTGCTGCATAGAGAGAGGTTACATAAACACCCTCCTGCAGAGAGAGGTTACATACAGATCTCTTGCAGACAGACAGGTTACATACAGATGCCTTGCAGAGAGACAGGGTACATACAGACCTGCATAGAGAGAGGTTACATAAATACCTCCTGCAGAGAGAGAGGTTACATAAATACCTCCTGCATAGAGACAGGTTACATACAGACCTTCTGCAGAGACACAGGTTACATACAGACCTTCTGCAGAGACACAGGTTACATACAGACCTTCTGCAGAGACACAGGTTACATACAGATCTCCTGCAGAAAGACAGGTTACATACAGATCTCTTGCAGAGAGACAGGTTACATACAGATCTCCTGCAGAGAGACAGGTTACATACAGATCTCCTCCATGTTACATAAAGACCTCCTACACACAGAGAGGTTACATACAGAACTCTTGCAGAGAGACAGGTAACATACAGAACTCCTGCAGAGACAGATTACACAAAGACCTCCTGCAGAGAGACAGGGTACATACAGACCTCCTGCAGAGACAGGTTAGACACAGACCTGTAAAGAGACAGGTTACATACAGATCTCCTGCAGAGAGAAATATTACATACAGACTTCCTGCAGAGAGACAGGTTACATACAGATCTCCTGCAGGGAGACAGGTTACATACAGATCTCCTGCAGGGAGACAGGTTACATACAGATATCCTGCAGAAAGACAGGGTACATAAAGACCTCCTGCAGAGAGAGGTTACATAAAGATCTGTTGCAGAGAGACAGGTTACATACAGATGTCCTGCAGAGAGACAGATTACATACAGATCTCCTGCAGAGAGACAGGTTACATTCAGACCTCCTGCATAGAGAGAAGTTCCATAAAGACCTCCTGCAGAGAGACAGGTTACATACAGATGTCTTGCAGAGAGACAGGGTACATACAGACCTCCTGCATAGAGACAGGTTACATAAAGACCTCCTGCAGAGAGAGGTTACATACAGATCTCTTGCAGACAGACAGGTTACATACAGATGCCTTGCAGAGAGACAGGGTACATACAGACCTGCATAGAGAGAGGTTACATAAATACCTCCTGCAGAGAGAGAGGTTACATACAGACCTCCTGCATAGAGACAGGTTACATACAGATCTCCTCCAGAGAGATGTTTAACAAAGGCAGGGTAGAAACAGATGTCCTACAGGCAGGCATGGTAGATACAGTTGTCCTACAGACAGGCATGGTAGATACAGATGTCCTACAGACAGGCAGGGGAGACACAGATGTCCTACAGACAGGCAGGGGGACACAGATGTCCTACAGACAGGCAGGGTAGATACAGATGTCCCACAGACAGGCAGGGTAGATACAGATGTCCTACAGACAGGCAGGGGGACACAGATGTCCTACAGACAGGCAGGGTAGATACAGATCTCCTGCAGACAGGCAGGGTACATACAGATCTCCTGCTACAGACAGACAGGGTACATACTGATCTCCTGCAGACAGGCAGGGTACATACAGATCTCCTACAGACAGGCAGGGTAGATACCGATCTCCTACAGACAGACAGGGTACATATGGATCTCCTGCAGACAGGCAGGGTACATACAGATCTCCTACAGACAGGCAGGGTACATACAGATCTCCTGCAGACAGGCAGGGTACATACAGATCTCCTACAGACAGGCAGGGTACATATGGATCTCCTACAGACAGACAGGGTACATACCGATCTCCTGCAGACAGGCAGGGTACATACCGATCTCCTGCAGACAGGTAGGGTACATACGGATCTCCTACAGACAGACAGGGTACATACGGATCTCCTGCAGACAGGCAGAACACAAAGGAGATCTTCAATAGAGAGACAGCACAAGGGTATACATAAAGATCTTCTGCAGACAGGCAGAACACAAAGGAGATCTTCAATAGAGAGACATCACAAAGGTATACATAAAGATCTCCTGCAGACAGGCAGAACACAAAAGAGATCTTCAATAGAGAGACATCACAAAGGTACACATAAAGATCTTCTGCAGACAGGCAGAACACAAAGGAGATCTTCAATAGAGAGACACCACAAAGGTACACATAAAGATCTTCTGCAGACAGGCAGAACACAAAGGAGATCTTCAATAGAGAGACAGCACAAAGGTGTACATAAAGATCTTCTGCAGACAGGCAGAACACAAAGGAGATCTTCAATAGAGAGACATCACAAAGGTATACATAAAGATCTTCTGCAGACAGGCAGAACACAAAGGAGATCTTCAATAGAGAGACATCACAAAGGTACACATAAAGATCTTCTGCAGACAGGCAGAACACAAAGGAGATCTTCAATAGAGAGACATCACAAAGGTGTACATAAAGATCTTCTGCAGACAGGCAGAACACAAAGGAGATCTTCAATAGAGAGACATCACAAAGGTATACATAAAGATCTTCTGCAGACAGGCAGAACACAAAGGAGATCTTCAATAGAGAGACAGCACAAAGGTGTACATAAAGATCTTCTGCAGACAGGCAGAACACAAAGGAGATCTTCAATAGAGAGACATCACAAAGGTATACATAAAGATCTTCTGCTGACAGGCAGAACACAAAGGAGATCTTCAATAGAGAGACAGCACAAGGGTATACATAAAGATCTTCTGCAGACAGGCAGAACACAAAGGAGATCTTCAATAGAGAGACATCACAAAGGTATACATAAAGATCTCCTGCAGACAGGCAGAACACAAAAGAGATCTTCAATAGAGAGACATCACAAAGGTACACATAAAGATCTTCTGCAGACAGGCAGAACACAAAGGAGATCTTCAATAGAGAGACACCACAAAGGTACACATAAAGATCTTCTGCAGACAGGCAGAACACAAAGGAGATCTTCAATAGAGAGACATCACAAAGGTATACATAAAGATCTTCTGCTGACAGTAGAACACAAAGGAGATCTTCAATAGAGAGACATCACAAAGGTGTACATAAAGATCTTCCGCAGACAGGCAGAACACAAAAGAGATCTTCATTAGAGAGACAGCACAAAGGTATACATAAAGATCTTCTGCTGACAGGCAGAACACAAAAGAGATCTTCAATAGAGAGACAGCACAAAGGTGTACATAAAGATCTTCTGCAGACAGGCAGAGCACAAAGGAGATCTTCAATAGAGAGACATCACAAAGGTGTACATAAAGATCTTCTGCGGACAGGCAGAGCACAAAGGAGATCTTCAATAGAGAGACAGCACAAAGGTGTACATAAAGATCTTCTGCAGACAGGCAGAGCACAAAGGAGATCTTCAATAGAGAGACATCACAAAGGTGTACATAAAGATCTTCTGCAGACAGGCAGAGCACAAAGGAGATCTTCAATACAGACATCACAAAGGTGTACATAAAGATCTTCTGCAGACAGGCAGAGCACAAAGGAGATCTTCAATAGAGAGACATCACAAAGGTATACATAAAGATCTTTTCAGAAAGACACAGTCACAGCATGAGTCTGCCAACATACCCACCTTCACAATGCCAGACAAAGACAGCGTGAGACTGCCAACATACCCACCTTCACAATGCCAGACAAAGACAGCGTGAGACTGGATGTCTGGGAGAGCAGAAGAAACTCGCTGAACTCCAGCATAAAGGCAAGACTTGCACCAGCCAGGAGAAGTCCAGCCGTCGTCATGAACATCTTGACGTCCTCACAACGGAAGAATTGTTCACTAGTTGCTACCTCAACACCTGCAAGATAACATAACCAATATGTAAAACATTGCTTCTTTGAGTGGCATTTTAGAAGTTGGGAAGTACAAAACAGACAAACTTTATAGATAACAAAGACAAAATTTATGGATAACAACTTCTTTTATTTTGTGAGTGTGACGTTTCAATACAGATTCTTGTACTGTTCTAAAGAGATGTAAAACATTGGACACACCTGATCATTAAACAAAGTGTGATTACAGACAACATGTGAGAGGGCAGAGACAGGTTACAAGGGGCAGACACAGGTGACAAGAGACACATTGACACAGGTTAGAAGGGGCAGACACAAGTCACAAGAGACACACTGACACAGGTTAGAAGGGGCAGACACAGGTCACAAGAGACACACTGACACAGGTTAGAAGGGGCAGACACAGGTGACAAGAGACACATTGACACAGGTTACAAGGGCAGACACAGGTGACAAGAGACACATTGACACAGGTTACAAGAGACACATTCACACAGGTTAGAAGGGGCAGACACAAGTCACAAGAGACACACTGACACAGGTTAGAAGGGGCAGACACAGGTCACAAGAGACACAGGTGACAAGAGACACATTGACACAGGTTAGAAGGGGCAGACACAAGTCACAAGAGACACACTGACACAGGTTAGAAGGGGCAGACACAGGTGACAACAGACACACTGACACAGGTTAGAAGGGGCAGACACAGGTGACAAGAGACGACTGACAAAGGTTACAAGGGGCAGACACAGGTGACAACAGACACACTGACATAGGTTAGAGGGGGCAGACACAGGTGACAAGAGACACACTGACAAAGGTTACAAGGGGCAGACACAGGTGACGATACACACTGACATAGGTTAGAGGGGGCAGACACAGGTGACAACAGACACACTGACACAGGTTACAAGGGGCAGACACAGGTGACAAGAGACACACTGACACAGGTTACAAGGGGCAGACACAGGTGACAAGAGACACATTGACACAGGTTACAAGGGGCAGACACAGGTGACAAGAGACACACTGACACAGGTTAGAAGGGGCAGACACAGGTGACAACAGACACACTGACACAGGTTAGAAGGGGCAGACACAGGTGACAACAGACACATTGACAAAGGTTACAAGGGGCAGACACAGGTGACAACAGACACACTGACAAAGGTTACAAGGGGCAGACACAGGTGACAAGAGACACATTGACACAGGTTACAAGGGGCAGACACAGGTGACAAGAGACACACTGACAAAGGTTACAAGGGGCAGACACAGGTGACAAGAGACACACTGACAAAGGTTACAAGGGGCAGACACAGGTGACAACAGACACACTGACAAAGGTTACAAGGGGCAGACACAGGTGACAAGAGACACACTGACACAGGTTACAAGGGGCAGACACAGGTGACAAGAGACACACTGACACAGGTTACAAGGGGCAGACACAGGTGACAAGAGACACACTGACATAGGTTACAAGGGACAGACACAGGTGACAAGAGACACATTGACACAGGTTAGAAGGGGCAGACACAGGTCACAAGAGCCACACTGACACAGGTTAGAAGGGGCAGATAAGGTCACAAGAGACACACTGACACAGGTCACAAGAGACCCATTGACACGGGTGAAAAGTCACTGACAGGTGACAAGAGACACATTGACACAGGTTACAAGGGGCAGACACAGGTCACAAGAGTGAGTGAGTGAGTTATTATTTAACGTCACATCGGCAATATGGCAGCCATCGTGACGAAGGTCACAAGAGACACACTGACACAGGTTAGAAGGGGCAGACACAGGTCACAAGAGACACACTGACACAGGTTAGAAGGGGCATACACAGGTCACAAGAGCCACACTGACACAGGTCACAAGAGACACATTGACACGGGTGAAAAGTCACTGACAGGTGACAAGAGACACATTGACACAGGTTAGAAGGGGCAGACACAATTCGCAAGATACACATTGATACATGTCAAAAGGAACAGACAGTCACGGGTGAGAGGGAACAGCTGGATGCAGATGACCTACCTTCAAATGCAACTGACAATGGAAACAGTCCAACAATCATCCATGGCTGTATGTGGTACATCATGTCAAGTGGGTTAGCCAGACCTGAAACATACATGTCTCCATCAGCTGATATACATCATCAACATCTGATACACATCACCAACATCTGATACACATCACCATCAGCTTATATACATGTCTCCATCAGCTGATACACATCACCAACATCTGATACACATCTCCATCATCTGATACACATCACCAACATCTGATACACATCATCAACATCTGATACACATCACCAACATCTGATACACATCACCATCATCTGATACACATCACCAACATCTGATACACATCACCAACATCTGATACCCATCACCAACATCTGATACACATCACCATCATCTGATACACATCACCATCAGCTGATACACATGTCTCCATCAGCTGATACACATCACCAACATCTGATATACATGTCTCCATCAGCTGATACACATCACCAACATCTGATACACATCACCATCATCTGATACACATCACCAACATCTGATACACATCACCATCATCTGATACACATCACCATCAGCTGATACACATCTCCATCAGCTGATACACATCACCAACATCTGATACACATCACCATCATCTGATACACATCACCATCATCTGATATACATGTCTCCATCAGCTGATACACATCACCATCAGCTGATACACATCACCATCATCTGATACACATCACCAACATCTGATACACATCACCATCATCTGATACACATCACCATCAGCTGATACACATCTCCATCAGCTGATACACATCACCAACATCTGATACACATCACCATCATCTGATACACATCACCAACATCTGATATACATGTCTCCATCAGCTGATACACATCACCAACATCTGATACACATCACCATCATCTGATACACATCACCATCAGCTTATATACATGTCTCCATCAGCTGATACACATCACCATCAGCTGATACACATCACCATCAGCTGATACACATCACCATCAGCTGATACACATCACCATCAGCTGATACACATCACCATCATCTGATACACATCACCATCATCTGATACACATCACCATCATCTGATACACATCTCCATCATCTGATACACATCACCAACATCTGATACACATCACCAACATCTGATACACATCACCAACATCTGATACACATCACCATCAGCTGATCACCATCAGCTGATACACATCACCATCAGCTGATACACATCACCAACATCTGATACACATCACCAACATCTGATACACATCACCATCAGCTGATACACATCACCATCAGCTGATACACATCACCAACATCTGATACACATCACCATCAGCTGATACACATCACCATCAGCTGATACACATCACCATCAGCTGATACACATCACCATCAGCTGATACACATCACCATCAGCTGATACACATCATCCATCAGCTGATACACATCTCCATCAGCTGATACACATCACCATCAGCTGATACACATCACCATCAGCTGATACACATCACCATCAGCTGATACACATCACCATCAGCTGATATACATCACCATCACCATCACCATCAGCTGATACACATCTCCATCAGCATGATATCTCCATCACTGATATACATCTCCATATACACGTCTCCATCAGCTGATACACATCACCATCAGCTGATACACATCTCCATCAGCTGATATACATCATCAACATCTGATACACATCACCATCAGCTGATACACATCTCCATCAGCTGATATACATCACCATCATCTGATATACACATCTCCATCAGCTGATACACATCTCCATCAGCTGATACACATCACCATCAGCTGATACACATCACCATCATCTGATACACATCACCATCAGCTGATACACATCACCATCAGCTGATACACATCACCATCAGCTGATACACATCACCATCAGCTGATACACATCACCATCAGCTGATACACATCACCATCATCTGATACACATCACCAACATCTGATACACATCACCATCATCTGATACACATCACCATCATCTGATACACATCACCATCATCTGATACACATCACCATCAGCTGATACACATCACCATCAGCTGATACACATCACCAACATCTGATACACATCACCAACATCTGATACACATCACCAACATCTGATACACATCACCATCAGCTGATACACATCTCCATCAGCTGATATACACGTCTCCATCAGCTGATACACATCACCATCAGCTGATACACATCACCATCAGCTGATACATCATCACCATCTGATACACATCACCATCATCTGATACACATCACCACATCACCAACCATCTGATACACATCACCATCATCTGATACACATCACCAACATCTGATACACATCACCCATCAGCTGATGATACACATCACCATCAGCTGATATACATCACCATCAGCTGATATACATCACCATCAGCTGATATACATCATCAACATCATCTGATACACATCACCAACATCTGATACACATCACCAACATCTGATACACATCACCATCACATCACCATCAGCTGATATACATCTGATCTCCATCAGCTGATATACATCATCCATCAGCTGATACACATCACCATCAGCTGATACACATCACCATCAGCTGATACACATCACCATCATCTGATACACATCACCAACATCTGATACACATCACCAACATCTGATACACATCACCATCATCTGATACACATCACCAACATCTGATACACATCACCATCACGCACTATCCAACATCTGATCAGCTACACATCACCATCAGCTGATATACATCATCTGATACACATCTCCATCAGCTGATCCAAATATCTGATATACATCATAGCTACATCACCATCTGATACACATCACCATCAGCTGATACACATCACCATCAGCTGATACACATCATCAACATCTGATACACATCACCATCATCTGATACACATCACCATCATCTGATATTCATGTCTCCATCAGCTGATTGATATACATGTCTCCATCAGCTGATACACATCACCATCATCTGATACACATCACCAACATCTGATACACATCACCAACATCTGATACACATCACCAACATCTGATACACCCATCACCATCATCTGATACACATCACCATCATCTGATACATCATCACCACATCACATCACCATCAGCTGATACACATCATCACAATCAGCTGATACACATCTCCATCAGCTGATATACACGTCTCCATCAGCTGATACACATCACCATCAGCTGATACACATCTCCATCATCTGATACACATCACCATCAGCTGATACACATCACCATCAGCTGATACACATCACCAACATCTGGTACACATCACCATCATCTGATACACATCACCATCATCTGATACACATCACCATCAGCTGATACACATCACCAACATCTGATACACATCACTATCAGCTGATACACATCTCCATCATGTGATATACATCTCCATCATCTGAGCTAATTTGGGATGGTTGAGCTCACACTCACCAATTTCCTCTTTCTGAGTGACCAGTTGAGCTCACACTCACCAATCTCCTCTTTCTGAGTGACCAGTTGAGTGACCAGTTGAGTTCACACTCACCAATCTCTTCTTTCTGAGTGACCAGTTGAGCTTACACTCACCAATCTCCTCTTTCTGAGTGACCAGTTGAGCTCACACTCACCAATCTCCTCTTTCTGAGTGACCAGTTGAGTTCACACTCACCAATCTCCTCTTTCTGAGTGACCAGTTGAGCTCACACTCACCAATCTCCTCTTTCTGAGTGACCAGTTGAGCTCACACTCACCAATCTCCTCTTTCTGAGTGACCAGTTGAGTTCACACTCACCAATCTCCTCTTTCTGAGTGACCAGTTGAGCTCACACTCACCAATCTCCTCTTTCTGAGTGACCAGTTGAGCTAATGTCCAGCGGAGACCTGACAGGAAGGATGCAGTGATGACCATCAGGAATCCCTCCAAGTTAAACTGAGTGGACTTGTATGTGAAGAGGAACAAGCCCACAGCTACACACAGGATCACCATGGCCTGGCTCCAGCGCTGCAACATAAACATGCCCACTGTTACCATGGTTACACTGGACATGTACCCAGTCCAGGTACTGTATGCTGAGAGAGAAGGAGCAACACAAACCAGCCCACTGTTACCACGGTTACACTGGACATATACCCTGTCCAGGTACTGTATGTTGAGAAAGAAGGAGCAACACAAACCAGCCCGCTGTTACCACGGTTACACTGGACATATACCCTGTCCAGGTACTGTATGTTGAGAGAGATGGCGCAACACAAACCAGCCCACTGTTACCATGGTTACACTGGACATATACCCTGTCCAGGTACTGTATATTGAGAGAGTAGGAGCAACACAAACCAGCCCACTGTTACCATGGTTACACTGGACATATACCCTGTCCAGGTACTGTATGTTGAGAGAGATGGAGCAACACAAACCAGCCCACTGTTACCACGGTTACACTGGACATATACCCTGTCCAGGTACTGTATGCTGAGAGAGAAGGAGCAACACAAACCAGCCCACTGTTACCACGGTTACACTGGACATATACCCTGTCCAGGTACTGTATGCTGAGAGAGAAGGAGCAACACAAACCAGCCCACTGTTACCATGGTTACACTGGACATATACCCTGTCCAGGTACTGTATGTTGAGAAAGAAGGAGCAACACAAACCAGCCCACTGTTACCACGGTTACACTGGACATATACCCTGTCCAGGTACTGTATGTTGAGAGAGAGACTGGACATATAGTCCAGGACTGTATGCTGAGAGAGAAGGAGCCACACAAACCAGCCCACTGTTACCACGGTTACACTGGACATATACCCTGTCCAGGTACTGTATGCTGAGAGAGAAGGAGCCACACAAACCAGCCCACTGTTACCATGGTTACACTGGACATATACCCTGTCCAGGTACTGTATGCTGAGAGAGAAGGAGCCACACAAACCAGCCCACTGTTACCATGGTTACACTGGACATATACCCTGTCCAGGTACTGTATGTTGAGAGAGAAGGAGCAACACAAACCAGCCCACTGTTACCATGGTTACACTGGACATATACCCTGTCCAGGTACTGTATGCTGAGAGAGAAGGAGCCACACAAACCAGCCCACTGTTACCATGGTTACACTGGACATATACCCTGTCCAGGTACTGTATGTTGAGAGAGAAGGAGCAACACAAACCAGCCCACTGTTACCATGGTTACACTGGACATATACCCTGTCCAGGTACTGTATGTTGAGAGAGAAGGAGCCACACAAACCAGCCCACTGTTACCACGGTTACACTGGACATATACCCTGTATGTTGAGAGAGAAGGAAGACCACAGACAGACGGACACTCAGAGGAGGCAGTGAAGCTATGAACAGTTTCAGGCTTCGCACCAACAGGTTATGGAGCACTGTCTGTGTCAGGCTGGGACACAGTTTGATATCTATCTACTTTTGTAAATTTTCTTCAGCAGAATCATCAGCTGCATACAGGCTTTTTGACAGTAGACCATGTACAACAGTTTATCATCAGCTGCATCACTGCTGTTTTGACAGTAGACCATGTACAACAGTTTATCATCAGCTGCATCACTGCTGTTTTGACAGTAGACCATGTACAACAGTTTATCATCAGCTGCATCACTGCTGTTATGACAGTAGACCATGTACAACAGTTTATCATCAGCTGCATCACTGCTGTTTTGACAGTAGACCATGTACAACAGTTTATCATCAGCTGCATCACTGCTGTTTTGACAGTAGACCATGTACAACAGTTTATCATCAGCTGCATCACTGCTGTTTTGACAGTAGACCATGTACAACAGTTTATCATCAGGAAACCATGGAAGCCTGCTATTATGCAATATACTTATAGTTTGGCATGAAATGCATGTGGACCCGTCTTTTTGTAAATATCTCTTCATCCAATGACCCAATCGATCTCAAACTGTGCAAGTGGATTTTTTGTCAGACAACCTAATCACATTGTAAATCACCGATTTTATGCATTTGTTCTTCTTCATTGGATGAAGAGATATTTACAAAAAAACGGGTCCACATGCATTTCATGCCAAACTAGAGTAGGGCTGTGTATTGGGTTAGGTCTCTTAATGCCTACAGTGACAAATGCCTGCAGGCAATAATAGCTACGGAGTATGTTGTTTTAGGTGAGCAGCAGTGATACGCTTCAAATCATGGCGAATCCAAAGAAGGTAGAGTACTACACGTCACAGAAAGGTGGGCAGCAAGTTCTGTTAGATCAGAGCCACAGAAGCAGTGTTCCCAAATAGTGCTGTCCGTGGTTGCTACTTTCACTATTCACAAGCTCTGTGGAGGAAGGTGCAAGAACTTAAGTTCACTGATGTCTATCTCCAGGATCCTGAGGTGTGGATTAGGCGTGCTGCAGCTCTACCCTTTCTGCCTGTGAGGCAGGTTCAGGATGCCTGGGTAGAGATCATGGAAGATGCTCCCGAGATTCCACAGAAGGTCCAGTGGCACGACTACATCACCAACACCTGGGTTGACGACCATGCCTTCTAAAGAGTCGGAATCTGGAACCAGCATGACAAACTAGGACCTCGCACGAACAACCATCTCGTGGGGTGGCATTCCCATCTGAACCAGGTCGTCATGAGAGCTCATCCAAACACCTTTGCGTTGGTGAAGGTTCTTCAGAAGCTGGAGAAGACCGAACGGAACAAGCTTGTTCAGTTCATCCATGGAGTTAAACCACCGCCACGACGTCATGTGTACAAGGAGATTGACAGCAGGCTTGATAGACTAAAGGATCAGCTACGAGCTGGTGTGAAGGCTCCCTTGGACTTTCTCAGTGCTGTTGGTCGACTAGTGAAGATGGAGTAAAACAAATTCTCCGACTTTTTGCCAGTCAAAATATGCATAAGATGATGTAAAGATATTTGAGCCTGTCATATGTAAAGATGTGAATTCAATTATTGTTATATATGAAAACCCCCAGCATTTTTTCATTGTGTGTAGGCATTTGTCCACCTTGTCTGTTGGAATGTTCCATTTATGTAATGGGGAGAAGATACTGCTGCTTGAAATCACCGGTGCATTACTTTGTTTATTCTACACTGTAGGCATTTGTCACTGTAGGCATTTGGAGACTACGCCGTGTATCGCTCCAAATTTCGTATTGCGATATATTGTGATATTCTGTACCGCAATATGTATTGCAATATATTGTGAAAGAAAAGTTAATGAGATCTGTCCACTTTGTAATATTCTTTCACCTTCAAACTGAATCACAGTATATGCAAGTAACCATTGTGCATTGTATAGCTTCTTTCAAAGTAAAAAAAGGAAAAACTAGACCATTCTTCTGTTTTCATATTAAAACTCGTTAACAGTAAATGCCTCTACCTGAGACTACAAACTAAATAAAAAAGGTCAAAAAAGAAGTTTCACCACAAACACAATTTTCTGAACACAAGCACCAGGTAAAGGAACACATTTTGATTGCCAGAGTGTCCCATCCAGACTACAAGTATCGTCTTGTAAATAGGTTTTCAGAAAGAGAAGAATGTGTACATTTTCAGGTTTCATTGAGGAAAAAGCCCTTTCTGAGGGAATGCTTGGTGCTGACATACATAACATCATCTTAGCCAACTGTGCCAGGCGAGGGTACTTGTCCTCTTTCATCTTCCACCAGGGAAGGCTGCTTGCACACAGTACAATACCTGGCTCACTGCAGTACTGGTCTACATCACGTTTAGCTAGGTCAAATGGGTGACTTTGCTGGCTCAGATTTAACAATAAAATCTCTCCGAGCATTCCTTGTAGGAGTGTGATTGGTTTGGTGCAGCCAGTGGCTGATTGACTTGATTTTGGTTCCTCATTGTTAGATTCAGAGTAGATGTATTCTCACACTCTGTTTTCACTGGTTCGTCCGGGTATAGGTCTGGCAAATTTGGCAATGATGAATCTTTGTCACCTGTATCAGGTTCAGTTTTGATAACAGGCTTGTTGTTTTTCTCTGTTTGTGCTATTATTTTTACTGTTTGGGCTGTGACATTTCCGAAAACATCATTTTTTGGTGCATAGCGTTGTGGCCATGTCCTTCATCGGTTTCAAGAACTGTATCACATCTTCTGCCAGTTACGCTTCCTCATCAGCAAAAGTGGCCAAACCACCTTTGCACTTGCCCCCTTTTTTGTCCATCAGCACTGTAAGGACAGCACACGACATTTCTAAGAATCTTGCCATCATGTCATAGGCACTATTCCAGCGGGTCCAGCGTCCATTATAAGATCCTGGCAAGGAAATGACAGGAAGGTAGCCTTGTCCTTCAACATCACACTTGCCTTTGGACTTCTTCACAATTACAACGTAGCCTCGGTAAAAGGATGAACAAGATCAGTTTAAATTGAACAAAACAATATTTGTCGGTTTACCGGTATATCATAAACATATCGCGATACATAATTGTTACAATTTCGTATTGCAGTTTACCGGTATATCATAAACATATCGCGATACATAATTGTTACAATTTCAAATTGCGGTTTACCGGTATATCATAAACATATCGCGATACATAATTGTTACAATTTCGTATTGCAGTTTACCGGTATATCATAAACATATCGCGATACATAATTGTTACAATTTCAAATTGCGGTTTACCGGTATATCATAAACATATCGCGATACATAATTGTTACAATTTCAAATTGCGGTTTACCGGTATATCATAAACATATCGCGATACATAATTGTTACAATTTCAAATTGCAGTTTACCGGTATATCATAAACATATCATGATACATAATTGTTACAATTTCAAATTGCGGTTTACCGGTATATCATAAACATATCGCGATACATAATTGTTACAATTTCAAATTGCGGTTTACGGTATATCATAAACATATCAATGATACATAATTGTTACAATTTCAAATTGCGGTTTACCGGTATATCATAAACATATCGTGATACATAATTGTTACAATTTCAAATTGCGGTTTACCGGTATATCATAAACATATCACGATACATAATTGTTACAATTTCGTATTGCAGTTTACCGGTATATCATAAACATATCACGATACATAATTGTTACAATTTCATATTGCAGTTTACCGGTATATCATAAACGTATCAGGTTTGATACATAATTGTTACAATTTCAAATATTGCGGTTTACCGGTATATCATAAACATATCATGATACATAATTGTTACAATTTCAAATTCGCGGGTTTACCGGGTATATCATAAACATATCACGATACATAATTGTTACAATTTCGTATTGCAGTTTACCGGTATATCATAAACATATCACGATACATAATTGTTACAATTTCAAATTGCGGTTTACCGGTATATCATAAACATATCGCGATACATAATTGTTACAATTTCAAATTGCGGTTTACCGGTATATCATAAACATATCGCGATACATAATTGTTACAATTTCAAATTGCGGTTTACCGGTATATCATAAACATATCGTGATACATAATTGTTACAATTTCAAATTGCGGTTTACCGGTATATCATAAACATATCGCGATACATAATTGTTACAATTTCGTATTGCGGTTTACCGGTATATCATAAACATATCACGATACATAATTGTTACAATTTCATATTGCAGTTTACCGGTATATCATAAACATATCGTGATACATAATTGTTACAATTTCAAATTGCGGTTTACCGGTATATCATAAACATATCACGATACATAATTGTTACAATTTCGTATTGCAGTTTACCGGTATATCATAAACATATCACGATACATAATTGTTACAATTTCGTATTGCGGTTTACCGGTATATCATAAACATATCGCGATACATAATTGTTACAATTTCGTATTGCGGTTTACCGGTATATCATAAACATATCACGATACATAATTGTTACAATTTCGTATTGCGGTTTACCGGTATATCATAAACATATCACGATACATAATTGTTACAATTTCAAATTGCGGTTTACCGGTATATCATAAACATATCACGATACATAATTGTTACAATTTAGGCATTGCAGTTTACCGGTATATCATAAACATATCGCGATACATAATTGTTACAATTGCAGTTTACGGTATATCATAAACATATCATTGATATTAATTGTTACAATTTCAAATACATAATTGTTACAATTTTACGGTATATCATAAACATATCCGCGATACATAATTGTTACAATTTCTATATGCGGTTTACCGGTATATCATAAACATATCACGATACATAATTGTTACAATTTCAAATTGCGGTTTACCGGTATATCATAAACATATCCGCGATACATAATTGTTACAATTTCATTATTCATGGCTTTTACCGGTATATCATAAACATATCACGATACATAATTGTTACAATTTCGTATTGCGGTTTACCGGTATATCATAAACATATTGCGATACATAATTGTTACAATTTCGTATTGCGGTTTACCGGTATATCATAAACATTTCAAGATACATAATTGTTACAATTTCATATTGCAGTTTACCGGTATATCATAAACATATCACGATACATAATTGTTACAATTTCATATTGCAGTTTACCAGTATATCATAAACATATCACGATACATAATTGTTACAATTTCAAATTGCGGTTTACCGGTATATCATAAACATATCACGATACATAATTGTTACAATTTCGTATTGCGGTTTACCGGTATATCATAAACATATCGCGATACATAATTGTTATAATTTCCTATTGCGGTTTACCGGTATATCATAAACATATCGCGATACATAATTGTTACAATTTCGTATTGCGGTTTACTGGTATACCGGTATATCATAAACAAATCGTGATACATAATTGTTACAATTTCGTATTGCAGTTTACCGGTATATCATAAACATATCACGATACATAATTGTTACAATTTCCTATTGCGGTTTACCGGTATATCATAAACATATCGCAACACATAATTGTTACAATTTCCTATTGCGGTTTACCGGTATATCATAAACATATCACGATACATAATTGTTACAATTTCGTATTGCGGTTTACCGGTATATTATAAACATATCGCGATACATAATTGTTACAATTTCGTATTGCAGTTTACCGGTATATCATAAACATATCACGATACATAATTGTTACAATTTCGTATTGCGGTTTACCGGTAATACCGTGCAGCCCTAATACTTAGAATATGAGTACTTACAAATTTCTCCAACCTCAGTAGAATTGAAAATCCTAGAATGAATACAATGGCCGTGGATTTGGACATGGTGTATCTGCAACAGTAAAACACTTAGTCACCCATAGTCTTGGTATGACAATTTTTCTGTAAACGCTGCTCTAAACACTGCTGCACACATAGCAGTGTATTGTTTATAGCAACTGACTGGCCGTGCCATTATAATAATATGATAATGTGTACTTATATAGCGCTAAATTCCATACATCAAGTGTATGCTTGAAGCGCATACGAATTGACATTTCATCATTACCCCGGATAACCCAAGCTGCCTGTGAGGCGCTAGAAAGTTATAGTCACATGACTTATCCCACTGGGTACCCATTTTCTGCCGGGTGAACAGAGGCATGTTTGAACAAACTCACTTGCCTATGGTGAGACCACATGTATCACATGTGCTTCGTTGTGGGGCAGGACTAAAGACCTAGAAACTCTCAGAAGCAGAGCTGCCGAACACAGTCACCCATTCAAGGACTGTCCGCGTCCAACGTTGCTTAACTTTAACTGATTTGTGACCCTTTGATGTCACTTCAAATTTCATTGTGACCTAGGTGGGAATGTGGCGACACCAGAAAAGGCATCTTAGATCAAGATTATCAACATAATTCCACAATGTGGCATTCTATGACAGGGGTCATGACAGGAGCATTTTCTTAAATTGAGTATGGAGGAATTAAACATGAATGAGTAATAAACAGTACAAACAAATGCTCATATAATAAAAGACTTCAACACACATTCTAAAGCAATACTAATACAAACTTACAATGAAACTGTAATGAATTCAAAGCTCCAGTTTGACAGACCAATGTCCAGAGCACTGACTATACCTGAAACAGATTTACACAGTTAGTCATACAGAAAAAGGATTAACACAGAATTACAGTCAGATTTACACAGTCATTCCAATCAACAGTCTCTCTGTTGCCAGGTCAATCAACAGTCTCTGTGTTCCCAGGCCAATCAACAGTCTCTGTGTTTCCAGGCCAATCAACAGTCTCTGTGTTCCCAGGCCAATCAACAGTCTCTGTGTTCCCAGGCCAATCAACAGTCTCTGTGTTTCCAGGCCAATCAACAGTCTCTGTGTTCCCAGGCCAATCAACAGTCTCTGTGTTACCCGGCCAATCAACCATCTCTGTGTTTCCAGGTCAATCAACAGTCTCTGTGTTCCCAGGCCAATCAACAGTCTCTGTGTTCACCAGGCCAATCAACAGTCTCTGTGTTCCCAGGCCAATCAACAGTCTCTGTGTTCCCAGGCCAATCAACAGTCTCTGTGTTCCCAGGTCAATCAACAGTCTCTGTGTTACCAGGTCAATCAACAGTCTCTGTGTTCCCAGGTCATTCAACAGTCTCTGTGTTCCCAGGCCAATCAACAGTCTCTGTGTTACCAGGTCAATCAACAGTCTCTGTGTTACCAGGTCAATCAACAGTCTCTGTGTTCCCAGGCCAATCAACAGTATCTGTCTTCCCAGGCCAATCAACAGTCTCTGTGTTCCCAGGCCAATCAACAGTCTCTCTGTTGACAGGTCAATCAACAGTCTCTGTGTTCCCAGGCCAATCAACAGTCTCTGTGTTACAAGGTCAATCAACAGTCTCTGTGTTCCCAGGCCAATCAACAGTCTCTGTGTTACAAGGTCATTCAACAGTCTCTGTGTTCCCAGGCCAATCAACAGTATCTGTCTTCCCAGGCCAATCAACAGTCTCTGTGTTCCCAGGCCAATCAACAGTCTCTCTGTTGACAGGTCAATCAACAGTCTCTGTGTTCCCAGGCCAATCAACAGTATCTGTCTTCCAAGGCCAATCAACAGTCTCTGTGTTACCAGGCCAATCAACAGTCACTGTGTTCCCAGGCCAATCAACAGTCTCTGTGTTTCCAGGTCAATCAACAGTCTCTGTGTTCCCAGGCCAATCAACAGTCTCTGTGTTACCAGGTCTATCAACAATCTCTGTGTTCCCAGGCCAATCAACAGTCTCTGTGTTACCAGGTCAATCAAAAGTCTCTGTGTTACCAGGCCAATCAACAGTCTCTGCGTTCCCAGGCCAATCAACTGTCTCTGTGTTCCCAGGTCAATCAACAGTCTCTGTGTTCACAGGTCAATCAACAGTCTCTGTGTTACCAGGCCAATCAACAGTCTCTGTGTTCCCAGGCCAATCAACAGTATCTGTGTTACCAGGTCAATCAACAGTCTCTGTGTTACCAGGCTAATCAACAGTCTCTATGTTACCAGGTCAATCAACAGTCTCTGTGTTCCCAGGTCAATCAACAGTCTCTGTGTTCCCAGGTCAATCAACAGTATCTGTGTTCCCAGGTCAATCAACAGTCTCTGTGTTCCCAGGTCAATCAACAGTCTCTGTGTTCCCAGGTCAATCAACAGTCTCTGTGTTGCCAGGTCATTCAACAGTCTCTGTGTTACCAGGCCAATCAACAGTATCTGTCTTCCCAGGCCAATCAACAGTCTCTGTGTTCCCAGGTCAATCAACAGTCTCTGTGTTCCCAGGTCAATCAACAGTCTCTGTGTTCCCAGGTCAATCAACAGTATCTGTGTTCCCAGGTCAATCAACAGTCTCTGTGTTCCCAGGTCAATCAACAGTCTCTGTGTTCCCAGGTCAATCAACAGTCTCTGTGTTCCCAGGTCATTCAACAGTCTCTGTGTTACCAGGCCAATCAACAGTCTCTGTGTTACCAGGTCAATCAACAGTATCTCTGTTGCCAGGTCAATCAACAGTCTCTGTGTTCCCAGGCCAATCAACAGTCTCTGTGTTTCCAGGTCAATCAACAGTCTCTGTGTTGCCAGGTCAATCAACAGTATCTGTGTTGCCAGGTCAATCAACAGTCTCTCTGTTACCAGGTCAATCAACAGTCTCTGTGTTACCAGGTCAATCAACAGTCTCTGTGTTCCCAGGTCAATCAACAGTATCTGTCTTCCCAGGTCAATCAACAGTCTGTGTGTTACCAGGTCATTCAACAGTCTCCGTGTTCCATGGCCAATCAACAGTCTCTGTGTTCCCAGGCCAATCAACAGTCTCTCTGTTGCCAGACCAATCAACAGTCTCTGTGTTCCCAGGTCAATCAACAGTCTCTGTGTTCCCAGGCCAATCAACAGTCTCTGTGTTCCCAGGTCAATCAACAGTCTCTGTGTTTCCAGGTCAATCAACAGTCTCTGTGTTTCCAGGTCAATCAACAGTCTCTATGTTTCCAGGCCAATCAACAGTCTCTATGTTTCCAGGCCAATCAACAGTCTCTGTGTTCCCAGGTCAATCAACAGTATCTATCTTCCCAGGTCAATCAACAGTCTGTGTGTTACCAGGTCATTCAACAGTCTCTGTGTTCCATGGCCAATCAACAGTCTCTGTGTTCCCAGGCCAATCAACAGTATCTCTGTTGCCAGGCCAATCAACAGTCTCTGTGTTCCCAGGTCAATCAACAGTCTCTGTGTTCCCAGGCCAATCAACAGTCTCTGTGTTCCCAGGTCAATCAACAGTCTCTGTGTTTCCAGGTCAATCAACAGTCTCTGTGTTTCCAGGTCAATCAACAGTCTCTATGTTTCCAGGCCAATCAACAGTCTCTATGTTTCCAGGCCAATCAACAGTCTCTGTGTTCCTAGGTCAATCAACAGTCTCTGTGTTCCCAGGTCAATCAACAGTCTCTGTGTTCCCAGGTCAATCAACAGTCTCTGTGTTCCCAGGCCAATCAACAGTCTCTGTGTTTCAAGGCCAATCAACAGTCTCTGTGTTACCAGGTCAATCAACAGTCTCTGTGTTCCCAGGCCAATCAACAGTCTCTGTGTTTCAGGATAATCAACAGTCTCTTGGTTCCCAGGCCAATCAACAGTCTCTGTGTTCCCAGGCCAATCAACAGTCTCTGTGTTACCAGGTCAATCAACAGTCTCTGTGTTACCAGGATAATCAACAGTCTCTTGGTTCTCAGGCCAATCAACAGTCTCTGTGTTTCCAGGCCAATCAACAGTCTCTGTGTTACCAGGCCAATCAACAGTCTCTATGTTTCCAGGCCAATCAACAGTCTCTGTGTTTCCAGGTCAATCAACAGTCTCTGTGTTTCCAGGCCAATCAACAGTCTCTGTGTTCCCAGGTCAATCAACAGTCTCTGTGTTCCCAGGTCAATCAACAGTCTCTGTGTTACCAGGTCAATCAACAGTCTCTGTGTTCCCAGGCCAATCAACAGTCTCTGTGTTCCCAGGCCAATCAACTGTCTCTGTGTTCCCAGGCCAATCAACAGTCTCTGTGTTTACAAGTCAATCAACAGTATCTGTGTTACCAGGTCAATCAACAGTCTCTGTGTTACCAGGTCAATCAACAGTTTCTGTGTTGCAAGGTCAATCAACAGTCTCTGTGTTCCCAGGCCAATCAACAGTCTCTCTGTTGCCAGACCAATCAACAGTCTCTGTGTTCCCAGGTCAATCAACAGTCTCTGTGTTCCCAGGCCAATCAACAGTCTCTGTGTTCCCAGGTCAATCAACAGTCTCTGTGTTTCCAGGTCAATCAACAGTCTCTGTGTTTCCAGGTCAATCAACAGTCTCTGTGTTTCCAGGCCAATCAACAGTCTCTATGTTTCCAGGCCAATCAACAGTCTCTGTGTTCCCAGGTCAATCAACAGTATCTGTCTTCCCAGGTCAATCAACAGTCTGTGTGTTACCAGGTCATTCAACAGTCTCTGTGTTCCATGGCCAATCAACAGTCTCTGTGCTCCCAGGCCAATCAACAGTATCTCTGTTGCCAGGCCAATCAACAGTCTCTGTGTTCCCAGGTCAATCAACAGTCTCTGTGTTCCCAGGCCAATCAACAGTCTCTGTGTTCCCAGGTCAATCAACAGTCTCTGTGTTTCCAGGTCAATCAACAGTCTCTGTGTTTCCAGGTCAATCAACAGTCTCTATGTTTCCAGGCCAATCAACAGTCTCTATGTTTCCAGGCCAATCAACAGTCTCTGTGTTCCTAGGTCAATCAACAGTCTCTGTGTTCCCAGGTCAATCAACAGTCTCTGTGTTCCCAGGTCAATCAACAGTCTCTGTGTTCCCAGGCCAATCAACAGTCTCTGTGTTTCAAGGCCAATCAACAGTCTCTGTGTTACCAGGTCAATCAACAGTCTCTGTGTTCCCAGGCCAATCAACAGTCTCTCTGTGTTTCAAGGATAATCAACAGTCTCTTGGTTCCCAGGCCAATCAACAGTCTCTGTGTTCCCAGGCCAATCAACAGTCTCTGTGTTACCAGGTCAATCAACAGTCTCTGTGTTACCAGGATAATCAACAGTCTCTCTTGGTTCTCAGGCCAATCAACAGTCTCTGTGTTTCCAGGCCAATCAACAGTCTCTGTGTTACCAGGCCAATCAACAGTCTCTATGTTTCCAGGCCAATCAACAGTCTCTGTGTTCCCAGGTCAATCAACAGTCTCTGTGTTTCCAGGCCAATCAACAGTCTCTGTGTTCCCAGGTCAATCAACAGTCTCTGTGTTCCCAGGTCAATCAACAGTCTCTGTGTTACCAGGTCAATCAACAGTCTCTGTGTTCCCAGGCCAATCAACAGTCTCTGTGTTCCCAGGCCAATCAACTGTCTCTGTGTTCCCAGGCCAATCAACAGTCTCTGTGTTTACAAGTCAATCAACAGTATCTGTGTTACCAGGTCAATCAACAGTCTCTGTGTTACCAGGTCAATCAACAGTTTCTGTGTTGCAAGGTCAATCAACAGTCTCTGTGTTTCCAGGCCAATCAACAGTCTCTTGGTTCCCAGGTCAATCAACAGTCTCTGTGTTTCCAGGTCAATCAACAGTATCTGTCTTCCCAGGTCAATCAACAGTATCTCTGTTACCAGGTCAAACA